GACATACTGCCACTGCTCATCGGCTGGCGTTTGTGGACGATCCATGTAAAGCTCTGCATTCAGCAGGCATCATTCTCATCACATCCCCGACACTTAGGAGACTCTTTGACTTCTTTGTGTACCACCTGCGTAGATCCCCCTCCTCATCGAAATCCACGATGTGCGCCACTGCTCCGCAGGTAGCACATGTCAAGATGCATGTTGTGAGGAGAAAAAGGGCTTTCAGTGCTTGTCTAGCCAAGGCCCGGAGTTCTTTGCGGGAATACGAGGGCATGGTCGACGTGGCAAATCCACTGAAAAGCCTTTCTGCAGGATACAAGTCTTGAAGTGTGGATGCAGTCGACCTTCGGGTCGAGGTGGAACTTTAAAACCTACAAGTACAGATTGATAGAGAATGACGGGGAATAGCAGAGCACGAGCAGAGGCAGAGCCAGACCGAGCCAGCAGGAAACAGATTTCTCTCCGAACCTGCTCCCTGTATCCTGCATCCCAAACCTCTGAGGCCACTGCTTGGCCGGCGAGGGCACGGAAAGCTCCCTCGAACTTGGCGAGGCCTCGAGGGACGCGGCTGCCCACCTCCACGGGAGCAGCTGGAGCCATGTCTCCATGAATTTGCCACTGCGCGGAGGCCGATGAGACGTGAGGTCCAACCTTACCCAATTGGGTCTCTGCTGGCCTGCACCAAGAGGGCACGGTCACCAGCCTTCCACTTCCCGGCCTTCGCACATCTGCGAGCAAGGTTACCTCCCGCCCCCCCCCCGGTGCTTGCGCGACCTCTTCCAACAGCTGCGAAGAGTGCGTGCAACTTGGAACGAATGTCACTTCGAAAAGAAAAGAGCTGTCCGCAGCGAAGAAACAACGCCCACTGTTTCTGCGGCATTCTGTGGAAATACCCGAACCAATGTGATGGACCCGTGCTGAACGCCTCAGCCACAACCGGCAGGGGAGGCGACGAAGGAAAGTCCGGATCCGAGACCTTGCGGCTCGGAGAAATTGTTAAATGACATCTCAAGTACACAGTTCAGTATGATAGACGAAAAAGACTTTTTGTCTTACGAGTCGTAATCATCGTCGTCGTTGTGCTGGATTGTGATTGTGGTCGTCATTGTCATTACTGGTGTGGTTGTTGTTTTTCCTGCTGCTGCTGTTGTTGTTGTGGTGGTGGTCAACCACAACCACGCGACCACGAGGAGAACCGCGACCACCACGGCCACAACCACGGCCGCCGCGACCACCACCAACACCGCCAAAGCTACCACCACGACCGTCACCAGATAGTTTTGGTGGTCTGGCAGCGTTATCGTAATAACAGTAATAACAACAATCATAACAGGAAGAAGAATATTTCAAGAATGGAGTGGTAGTAGTAGTCGTCGTCGTCGCAGTGGCGGCAGTAAGCAGAATCATAATCTCATAATCTACGGCTATGATATCTCGTGTCGCTCTTCCGAATTTTTCCGCTTTTCTTCCGACCTGGCCTGGACGAGCTGCAGCTCCAGCTCCTTGGGGTGCCGCGCCACGCTGAGAACCTCCACCTGTTGACATCTGGACGTAAAAGTTGAGCATATGATTGTTCGCGTTGTGATTATTGTTGTTATTACTGTACGTAGTTTCTGTGGTCATAACTATAGTAAGAAGAAGAATAAGCAGCAGAAGAAGAAGAAGAAGAAGAAACTCTACCCACTTTTTGGCGGCCTCTGCCACCAGCCGTCTCTGTCGGCCGAGTTCTGTGGTGGTATTGGCCGTTCGCGTCGGGGCCTCACAGGCGTCGCAAGAGCCAAGCTGCACGAACATTATCAGCCTCATTTCCATTCCCACTATCAGCATCAAAAGTATCAGTAGTTGACTCTTATGCCCATCCCCGCCTCGAGGGCGACAGCCGCTAGCTGCCCCTGATTTGGCAACCGCGGAGATACAAGAGAGTCTGCGCCTAAACTAATGGCCTTATAAGGAGGGCTGCCAGCTTCACGCCGATCCAAACCGGCAACAGGCCCCGAAAAGCTTTGAGGTGCCCGTCTCAATCTGCCAAACCTACGTCCAAGAAGCTCTCGGGCGCCAGGTCCGATCGCGGCGGGAGCGCCCGGCCCACACCCATGGACTGAGGCAGTCGGTGCACGAAGAGTTGGATTGGTTCACTTGCCGAGACCTCTTTGTTTCTTATGATTGGGTTGAAGTTGTGCAGCAACGGCAGGTTCGAGGAACGGCTTGGTGAGGCCAGGTTGTGACATTCCAACCTCAAGCCTGACATGCTGTAGGTGGAGGTTTCTACCATTGGTCAAGTGGCTGTCCCGGCTTGGAGCCGCGGCTCGGAGCCTTTGGCACAAACTGTAGCTTGACAGCAGTGAATACGTCTGCCGAACCAGCCGTGGAAACTCATTTAGAAAGCGCGACGGGGGAAGCACTGAGCACGAACGTGAGATGACAAGAAAGAGTCGACAACACCGACACTAGACTGCAAAAGAGTTTGTCACCTCAGGCAGGTGCTTGGGGGTGGAGGTGAATCCCGACAGCAATCCTTGTACTGGGAAGCATGCATGGCAAGTGAATGCCCAGACACGAACGCATTTATCTTAAAAGCGGAAGACTTGCCTCTAGGCACAGTCTCCAAACAAACGCGTTAAGGACGGAACTAGACGACTTTTGCAAGCATCTCGAAACACCAACCATGAGTTTTGCGGCGCAGTGCAGGATTGCAGTCCCGGAAGAGCCTGGCAACGAGGCCGACGACTCCAAGGCCTTCCAGGCTCCGTCGGGCTGCGCCTGCGTCCCGCCCATGGCATCGCAACGGCATGGAACTTCAGTTTTCGACCCCAACCCCAAGCCAAGCGCCTTTGGCAGCCGGCTGGCGCGGTGAGATCGGGGCACCTCAGTTCAGATTGTATTAGTCAGAGAACTATGCACTTTGCCCTCCCATATCCGCTTCGTGCTGGACATGTCCGAGGCTTCGCATCACGAAGCCTCAAAATTGCTCGAAGAGTTTGTCTTGCGCCTGTAGACTACAACTGTGCCGTGCTATGCGGGAATTCCTACACAGAAAATCTGAGGGCTTGCGCGACTGGAACTGCTGGGACTCGGGGGCGGTGCCGAGAACCTGGGACGCGAAGGAACCACACACAAGGGGCTACGGTAGGTTGAAACGATTTGGGCTCGGGGCAGCTCAGCGCCAGCGCGTCCCGCGCAAGCCACAGGAGACACCATGGCAACCCGAGCTGCCGCCCTAAGTCTCCCCGTGATACATGTCTGGGGGTGCTCAGAGGCTCGCCTCAAGGGTCCTCTCCACCCTTACATGCAGACTGTGCTTTGAACCGTCGGTTGGGGATCGCTTTCACTGTGTACCTGATGCCCAAGCCTGAAACAGCTCCAGACAGGCAGCCCATGTCTGTGCAATTTCAGGGACACGACACAACACGGCACATGCGCTGTCTCGGCTCGCCAAGCCCGAGCTAAGTCCCCCGGTGGGCAGGCGCCCCCCCTCTCTGCTCCTCCGCCTCGGCTGCCGCCTCCAGCTCCTCACAGCGTCAAACCGATGCAGCAGCTCCGGCTGCGGCAATGGCAAATCTTACATTTGATGGCCTACAAATAACTCACCTTTCACCCGCCGGGAGTGCGAAATTGCCTGGAAATTGCCTGGATTCCTGGTCCACGGCAAGAAACAGCCAGACAGAATCAAGCAATACCGTTCATAAAACATTCCGGCCAACAGCCCTCCCTGCTTCGGCTTGCGGCCTTTTTCAGGCTTCGAGCGCGCATCCCGGCTTACCGGTAGAAACGTGGAGCTGCGAGCCATGTTCGGAATGCTGCACTTGCACTGTCCGCCCTGCCCAGATGCAGCTGTACGCAAGAGGGTGGCTGCATGTGGCTTCAGAAATGCCTTGGGCTCACAGTTCCAACAACCACATAACAAGTACCTCGAAATCAACAGCCTCGCAGGCATTTCTCGAGCCTCATGCAGGGGCGCAGGGTGACGTTGACAGTCTCCCGCCCAGCGTTTTTCCGCGTGGGACTGTTCTGCTGCATTTACATGCCAGCAACAGCTGGCCTGGTAACTTAAGAACTCAGAGATCGTCGTCGCTGTCGTTGATCGCAACATTTAGAGCATCTGCCAGCTCCCTTGCTGCTCGCCTGCGACAAGACGTGGAAATGGCGTGAGCCCGGGGGGTTTAGGGGAAACGGAGACGCACAGATTCTGCAACACAGGCTTGGCCTTTGCTCAGCAGCCGAGGGTAGTGTCGGCTCTGGCGGTCGACTGCCCGTCTCCGGCGTAAGCCTGACAAGTCATAGCACCTCACATGACGAAATAGCCAACAATAGATCTGAGTCGAAACCCGCCTAAGGCTGCTGTCTCCCAGGAGTCGCCGGGACAGGAAAAGCAAAGGCACCTTGACAGGAGGCCCCGGCAGAAGGCTTCGGAAAACTGTCCTTGAAAGCGCACCTCCGAAGTAGAGCTATGCCTCTGAGTACACTCAGAACTTTCCATCTCCATCTACACCTGCAATACACGCAATCCTACCTTTCCTACCCTGCGAAGCGGCACCTCCGCGTTGAAGCGCGTTCGCCTCACCACCAGTTTCAACCAGAAGCTATAGCGGTCATGATGCTATCTTTTGCCAGTGATGGTCTTCCATCTCTCACATCACATGAAGCTAGGTCATGGAAACACAGATATCAACACGTCATTTTCGACACTCCCGAGCCGTGGGGTAAACGTCTATCACTCAAGGTCGATAACCCACACGCACTGCTGCAAGAACCAGCTGGTGCCGCGCCCATGCAATCATCATCATGACATCCCCAAACCCCACAATTGCCACTTTCAGGAACCTTGTTGACCCACTGACCCCCTCATCAACATTCTCCTCTCATCAAAAGGTTTTCACTTGTGCTCATCTACTCCGCTTGTCCTTTGGAGCTTGCATCCTTGCGAGGCTTACGAGCTGTGGAAGAAGTTACCACACCTTTCGGGACAAGTCGCACACTCAGGTCGTAGTACTGAACCTGGGTGCCCGAACGCAGATGCTGACGCTGCTGACGCAGCTTTATCTCAGGAGAATGCACATCTTGGCTGCGGCATGCGGAACTGAAAAGTCTCAACATGAATGCTTCTCTTGTCACGTGCCCTGCCTTCAACTTGCGCATGATCACAGAACCCTCTTGTGCCTGCCAAACAGTCATGAGTCATCCGAGGCTATGCAAAGGGACAGTTGAAGCATACAGCAGCAGAGCTCAAGTTCAATTGCATCAAGGAACGATGGCGTTTGCCATGGCCACCCGCATCCCTCAACACGTGCACCAAACAGAAGAATGGAGCCTTGACCACTCTGCCCGGAGCATCAACTTTGTTCCCAACGACCACCACAGGAATGTCACCAGCCACCTTCCTCATGACAAGGGCAGATTAGGGACGCTGAGCTATTCAGCGAAGAAACCCAGCCTCAGGTCCGTGACCCACTTCGTCAGATTCTGGTGGCTCTCCCGCTTCGTCACCTTGGAACGGAAGTCTGGAAATGTCGGGCCTGTGCTGCACGAAACAGCCACAAGAAGGCTTCGGCATAAGGTGAAATTGCATCAAACATATATCGGTCGAGTCCCGACACTTGGACTGCAAGACATGTTTTATGTTCTCACTGGTAAAGGAATGTCTAGGCCGCGGCATCGAAGAACACCATAGCACACTGCGCACCTTACATGCGAACACACACGACGGACGCATGAGACCAGAAACACGCCTAGAAATCTGATGACAACCTCAGCACTCAATCAAGGCTGACGTCCTGATGTTCGCAAGGACTCTCTGCCCATAGAGGCGCCGATGAAGTATCCGTCCCGGAGCCCGGCAAGGTGATCCTCAGGGTCTCTCTTTCCATGCGGCGACTGCACGAACTGCGTGTTCTGCACGAGCTCGGCTCCAGATTCCGGTGATGTGCTGCTGTCCCTTCATCCCGTGTGCCTGGCCAGCAGTGTCCCAGACCTGGAAGAGAATGGGACCTCTACCTGGGCACTCGGTCCAGCAAGGGATTCTCCCCGGACGACCAACTCCACTTCCGTCGAGGCGGCTGGTCGAAATCTTCAGCTTCTTCATCTCGCAGCCCTGCGCATGCTATGTAGAAGCCTAAACTGCTCCTGTCATATGTGCAAAACGGGCTCTAGACTCTAGAGAGATCCTTCGCCGGGATGTGTTCATCACTGAGCTGAGGCACCTACCTCTGTGGGCCGGTATTTCTTCACAAACTCCCCTGTGACGTGCCGCTTCACCTTCAGACTCTCAGCTGATAGCTCGGCCGCTCACTGTTACCCCTTTGTCTGAACACCTTACTTTCTCTTGGTGCCCGACGAAGCACGTCTTGCCGACTCCCGCATCTCCGAGGAGCACGAGTTTGTACTGGCCAAAAGCGGCTGACAAGCGACTGCTCGCAACGCAACGGAAGCCCCCGAAAACGCCCGAAACGAATCTGCAATCCATGTTCTCAATTTCCAGACCTCTCCCATCTTACGATTCAAACCACGCCTCAACCGGTGGCCCGCTGGCCTCCACGTTTGAGGGGATGGGGACGTTTCGCGTGGCAGATGAGCTCTTATGGAAAATCCTCTCCCCACCAGCGGGCAAAGAGTGCCAGACTTCATGTCACGTTGGGGAAGCTAGATGCATGCAAAAGGTAGCAAGCTCAGGACCTGCCGACACCTTGACAACATACAAAAAATCCAGATTCGACGAATTCAGCGCACCGGTCTAGAACCCGATCCCCACGTGCTGAAGATCGAATCCCAACTGCTACGAGGATGTTTGCAGAGGCCTGCGAAGCGAAAGCCGTTGCAGGCCGCACCTGAAGCTCCACTGGGAGGACCGGTGCCACTACAAAGATGTTGCGTTCAAGTTTAGTGGGGAAAAACATCCCTCCGAACAGCAACCCCCGAAATCAAACCTAGCCAGTCCGGAAGGCGTATGAAAAGGAACTTGTGAAAGCTTGTTGTGTCCCTGGAGAAAAAGAATCGAAGGACGAAGGCGCAACAATCCTGTTCCACTTTCCCACACACCCCCCACCTTCAATCGCTGCAGCCCCTTCTATATCAGCCCAGGCGCAGTCTCAGCCTCAGGCGTATTGCTATCGACACTTGTCCTCAGCGGCTGAAGCCTCAGGCATGCCCTCCAGTCCAACAGCTAAAGACCACACTAGCACAAGCCGCACTTGTGTGTCGCTCTCGCAACGCAGGAGTGTAGCGTTAGCAGCAACTGTGAAGTCACACCGGTAGACGACAGATGCATCTTCGACAAGGCGGGGCTTCCGACGGGACTCGGAAAGCTGCGCTGTTCATCGTCTGCTAACCTGTGTCGATCTGTTCTGAATGCACCGAACTCCTACAAGCCAGTGCTGCCCGGCACCAGCATGTCTGGCCCTCTAAGCTTCAGCTTTTACATCCCGGGAGGCCCTTAAGGGCAAGCAAGACATACATACACCAGAAACAGCTCGTACGGACTCTGCGAACACTTCCGGATTCTCGAAGAGACAACATCCCTCGCCTGCACCAGCATCCGAAACGATCTGCAAAGTCTGTGCGGGATGAATCTCTAGCACAGCGCGGACACGGCACAAGAAGCATCTTTGCCCGGCCCTCATTAACCACGACTTCGTCGCCGAGCTTCTGCACACGTGCCCGCTTTGCCGGCGGCGCCTCTTCCGACGAAGGCCTCTCCCGAGATAGGAAGGCATTCAGTTGAGCTTGTCTAAGATGTCACGGGCAACAAATTCTAGCCAGGCCAGTGTCTGCAGGAACGGACAGGAAGAACTCAAGAAGCTTTGCACAGCAGGCAGGAGATGGTAGGAGTTTCGTCGCTATGACACATTTCGGAGCAACAAAGTCTCGGATCCCCAGCACAGTGACCCCGCCCCCAAAAACTAAGCCCGGCGCCTTTTGGATGTGATGCTCTGCACGAAGCCCCATAGCCGGGAAAGCATGGCGCTGGGCGGGGCTGGGACTTGCTGCGGTGTGGCCGTACTGAGGCTTTGGCTACGAAGTGCACTTTAAGCGAAGGCTCTCTGTCAGGAGTTCACGGCTTCTCTGTGTCAGACTACGCTGGCCTGCTTGTCTGCTATTCATGCTACTGCAACAGCTGGGAAGGTACTAGCGCAGGAGGCTGCAGACCTTCAACTTCTTGCACTTCATGGACCGTCCGGTACTTCAAAGCTGGAGTCGGAAGATGGCAGAAATGCCACAGATGCACCACTCAACACCGGCTCTTGAGCAGGGCTCGGGACTTCGAAGCTGCAGCATCTCCTCCCCGGTGGTCGCTTGCAGCAGGTGTGCCATCGCCAGCATCGTGGAGTGCGCCACGGCCTCGGCAATGGTCGCCGATGACGCCAAGCAGAAAACCACCAGACGCTGCTGTACGGTCATATGGCTGCAACCACGGATCACATACTCTTGGGAGCTGCGCCCTTTTCAGTGTCCCAACGAGGCAAGAAGCAACCGTGAGCAGTTGCTTCTGCAGATTGGCAGTTTGCTCAGTATGCAGCATGAACGAAAGCACACGGTCACGTGGAGGGCAGTCAGCTAGAGGCTGCCCTTAAGTGCGAGAAGCTCTGGTATCCTGACTACAGTCGAAGTAGCATTCTAATGTACCACCGGAACACCTGCAAACACCAATGACTTGTTTTTGTTGACAGCTCGACCATAAGTCGTGGTGTCTACCATGACATTGTTGATGAAGACGATGACGAGCTTGGTGCTTGCAGTGGATGCTGAATGAAATCATCATCGTCATCGTTCCACCTGATCATGGTTATCATTGACACAACAGCACTGAAAACATCGTCACCCGGTTTTCATTCTTCAGCATCCTCATCAGCATCGACACCATCGTCATCGCCAGCATCAGCAACAGCGACCCTCCGGGCCTTCTGGGCCGACTCCGCTGCGGCAAGCTTGGACTGACAGCAAACTTGGACAGTTTTTCTCTCGAGTACCCAGACATGGAAAAGCAAGCATATGCAAGCCATACGCCAGCTCTGCCTTGCCTCAGACATCTCATTCCGGATTAGTTGACTTCCAACCTCCCTCCCAGTTCTGGCCAGGTCATTCCAGCAGCTGGATAGGTCCGCAAACGGCCTGAGGGGCGCTGAGTCGTGAGAATGTCACTGTCGGCTCAAAATCGTCTTACCTCGCTTACGACTTTTATGCCCACCCCAGATCCCTGCCAAGTGCGGTCCAGCCACTTCGGAAGCGCCATGAGGCAAAGAGCGAAACGAACGCAGACAGGAGTAACACGGTACGGTTGGGACGGCTGGGAAAGCTTCGCTTGCTGCAGTGGATTGCAGTAGGATCAGGGTGCAAGCATGGTCTAACATGACATGGGTGGACCGAATCGTTCTTGAAGCCGAGGCATCTCGCAGCGCTTGAAGGACGGGCTGGCAACCGGCCCAGGGCCGCCCACAGGCTTAAGGGCTTTGGCAGCCGCTGCACGGTTCTGGCAACTTCCTTTTTGGCGGTGCGGGGACAGCAAGCATCCGAGCGAGGCTGTCCTGCCAGGGCCTGCTAGGAGAAAGAGGTATCTCTTTGTTTGGAAGTTTTTCCCCTTAAGAAATTTCATAAACCAAAGCACTGCGTGTGCCCCGAACCCGAAACATGATGGCATGTTGCAATTTGCTCTTGCTGAGGTCTTTCGAAACTCGAGGGAATTCGTCCGACTGTAATCTCGGTCAGTCCCATGGGTTTTTTGGAAACACACTGTCAGCTCCTGGCAGGTTCAATCTCCGACGCCCTTCGCACCACTGCGAGCATGTCTGGACGCGGGCAGGGCAGCTGACTCTTCTGCAACAACCGCAGTATGTCATCCTAGGCTATACTCTAGACGACGCTTCATGGGACTATGCGATTTTCTGCTGCGCAGGGCGTCAGTTTGCGCAACGGCGCGCCCTGCGGAAAAGTGTGGATCTCAGTCATCGCCACCCTCCTGGGCACCAGACTGCCGAGCTGCTTTGGGTGAGGGAGAGCAGGGAGACGGCGACAGCTGACCTCGCCTCCTTGGCTTTCTTGAGGCCGGGTTTCTCGGTGGGCACAAAGGGCCCAGCGCGCTCCACGATGGTCTGCACAAGCGAGGCGGAGCACTCTTTGGGGAGCCGGGATCTCTTGGAGGCTTTGGGCCTTGAAGTCCATGGTGATGGGCTTCCGATCCGGCACCGGGAACTCACCTGGCAGACTTGATACTCGCCGCAGAGTGCAAGCTGGCTTCGACAGGGTTACACATTCATATGATTCATATGGATAACCTGAAGTCTGAAGATACTCAACACTCTCGGAGAAGATAAAAGCGGTAAATAGCCGATTCGCACAGTGGAAAGACCGATTCGCACGCTTACGACCGCGTTCGCAAACTGGTGCAGAGGATTCGAGTGTGCACACGCGATTCGCCCACCACTGGCGCCGAGGATTCCTGCATGGACGATTCGCACGCTAAGAAACGCCAGATTCGGGCACTTGGCACCGGGTGCGCGCACCGACAGGATCCAATCCCTGTCAGTGTTTCGGAGTGTCCGGTCTCCGTTTCGTCATTATGCTCTTTCCCAGACTGTACGTGCCACATGGAGGGGCTACAGTGACTGTTCACAAAACCCAAAGCCCGATCGGGTAGAATGCGTGGCAAGCCCAACAGAGCAAAAGGAGTGAGGGCTGCAGAATCTGCAACAAGGAGTGTCTCGTTGTGCAAACCCAAAACTGTGTAGAAGGAGTGCTAACAGTAAATGTGAACGGTTGAAAAAACAAAAACACTAAAAGGAGTGTCGGCTTCCCGAAAACCCTAAACGGGGCGGGAAAACAGCCTGAGCGGCTGAGAAAAAAAACTCAGAAACAACTCATGGCTGGTCCAAAAAACCAAAACCTGCCAAAACCCTATCAGGGGTCGAAGGTAATGGGTGGCAAGCCCGATATTCTGGAAGGAGTGACTGTTGCAAATGCTACCCATATCATGACAAGGAAAGACTCGGTGTCACAAACCTGAAGTCTAGGAAAGATGTGTAGGTTTTTGACTCTGGCCACATCCTTTTCAGACTCTCGCCTATCCTTCTAGCCTGCTTCCCACTCCGGCCGTTGACGACTGTCTCTGTTTCCCGACTTAGTCGTCGGTGTTTCATGTCTTTCCGTCATGACGTCCGACTTTGCAAGCAGTTATTGTGGATTGGTGGATTGGGCGAGCGAGACCTACTGCTGAGAGACCGAGCATGCAAGCAACCCTAAAGCCTAAATCCAAAACAGTATTTGGCTCTCTTGCCTGCACATGAAGGCTTTTGAGATTTTGAAGTCTCAAACCCGTCGAGTGCCGAGTGAATCGGCTAGCGCTTGAGTCACGAACGCGTCAATCGCACATACGCTGGCAGTGATGTTGCTTGAATCTGGCTGGGTGTGCTTGAACCGCTGGTGCTTGAATCGCGGGTGAATCAATCACAAGCGCTTGTCTCAGCGCTCGAATCGGGCCAGTGCTTGATTCCCGCTCTTATGGGAAAGATATCAGTCGACACGGGACGGCGCGATGTTGGCAGCCATCAATGCCAAAAAAAGGTACTGTAAACCGGCAACAAACAAGGACCAAATGCTCCACATTGGGGCTGGAGAACTAGCCCACAGCTACCACTGTTGCTATGTATCTACAGTAGATGTGCTCGCGAAGCTAGCCCACCGAACATGCGAAAGACAACTCCAAGATGCAGCAATCGCTTTACAAGCTGTCCTGATACAGGCCCTGGCCCTGCAGGGATAAGCATCCACTCAGCCGAGGCACGCCAGTTGGGGTCGTTGAGCGGTGGCTGACCTGCGAGGCACGTTCATCGATTGCACCAAAAGCGGATCCACCATGAATCACCATGTGGCAATCACCATGTGGCCAACAGGAGCCCAAGCCCCTTGCGGCCCTTGCATACACCGCTAAGGCATCAACGGTACTTGGTGTGAATCTCTGGCTTGATGCCGACATCATAGTTTGGCATCGGCTGGTCCTCGTGGAAAGACTCAACTCTCAAGGCCAGCGCTGGCCAGAGTTTACAGCGCATGATCAGGGTTTAGGGTTTAGGGTTTAGGGTTTAGGCCCCTCCAAATCACCAGAGCTGCTGAAAGCCGACACTTCACAATCTTCCACATCGAAGGTCCTCCAGCTTCACGAAGAAGTCCTCCTTTGTGGCTGGCTTGGCGTCGGCTTTCTGCAGATGCGCCGGGACCGGGAGGTGGGCCTCAGCACATGCGGGTCTTAGGGTTTGGGGTGACTGCCCCGCAGGTCGCCGGAAAAGTGCCCCCTGAGGTTCCGGCTGGGAAGGCCTGGCGCAGCTCCTTCTCACCATAGAAGCCGTGGGCTCGCACGGAAATAGTGATCACCTGGTCCTGAGCCCGGGCGATGTGAGGCTGATTGGGACCTTTCTACTACTACGGTATTGGCGGACTTCGGCAAAGAGATCGTCCGATTTCATGCACCCGCACCCATGCACTCGAGATCGACCCCTTTGTCAAGTCGTTTTTTGCGTTCGACCTGGAACTCGCTCAAGTGTTGCGAATAGCTCTAAGACAAGCTACCCAACTTCGTCGAGAACTCAAACACACTACATTGGTCTTTCTCGACCATGCCCCGTGTCCTTCTCGTTGAATCGGATGAACCCGGGGAACTTCTCTGCCCACTCGTACCAGGGAATCGGCTCCTCTGGCAAAGACACTTCGGAGTGCTTGGATCACGTGCCTGAGTGGCTCGGAGTGACTGTGTGAAGACTCGATGCCCTGTGCTGTCCGGATCCATCAGGTCTTCGCGCCCGATGATCTCCGCATGCCGCTTGGGGTCCGGGATCATGAATCCCTGCGGGATGTAGCCTGAGCCAGGTTGACACAAGACTCCCCTAAACCATAAAAACTCCCTTTCTTATGTATATTTAGGCGTTTTTGCAAAAAGCGGTCAATCGGGACCGGTGTTCCCGCCAAAAGCGGTCAATCGGGACCGGCGTTCTCGTAAAAAGCGGTCAACCGGTTTCCCGCAAAAAGGCGGTCAATGGGCATCGGGAACAGGTGTTCCCGCAGAAAGCGGTCAATGGGATGGGCGTTCCCTGCAAAAAGTGGCCGATCGGACCGGTGTTCCCGCAAAAAGCGGTCAATCGAACCGGTGTTCGAACCGGTGTTCCCGCAAAAAGCGGTCAATCGGCTCACTCACCAGCACTCACTACTCACTCCACTTCGCTCACTCACTCACTCCCTCCATTTACTCCTTCACTGTTCTCACTCGCCTCGTCATTGACTCCCATCACTCCCTCCGCGCACTCCGTTCCTTCTCATTCACTCCGCTCACTCACTCTTCTCACTCACTCCCGTCACTTACACAAAAGGAGATTAACAAATTCATTCCTTTGTAGGAGCCCGACTGGTTTCCATGAAATTGACAGATAAACAACAAAAATGGCACAACTAAGTGGATAAGAAAAACGCTTTAAGTCTTAATGTTTTGGGATTCTCTCGTGGGGGTGGTTGGGCTGGGTGGGTATTTTCCCACGTTCCAAACAGCGAGCTCGACTCGATACTGCTCGATCCGGAACTTCTAAGTAAGCATGAAACGCAGAAGGAAAGGCGTCTCCGGTCTCAGGCTGGCGCTGTCAAGAGAGGCCCCGGCAGAACCACCACTGCCCCTGGCCCGTCAGCACCAACACTTCACACTCTGGACAGCTGCTACACATCAGCATGTACATACATATATATATATGTATATATATATATATACGTACACACTGATGTGAAATTATGTGCGTATAAATAAATAAATAAATATATATATATATATACATATATATATATATGCACATATATATATATATACACACACACATATTCTACATACACATTTTTCCTCCAAGTAGTCACGAGTTTAGCCGAGTAGATAAAAAGAGACCAGGCTTGACCTGCCACGACGCTGCCGCATCTCCGCAGTGGGCTCCACGGCACCTTAGGAAAAGCTGAATTCAGTCCAAATAAGCTTTCTTCTGAAACATGTATGTATATATATATATATGTATATACATAGAAGCATAAGCCAGCACATACATATACCCTAGACATATATAGGTGGAAAGACTTGCTTCCGAAGCACTCACGGTAACACGGTTCTGCGCAGAATCGACTTGCGCAATGTAGACCTGAAGCACGCAGAAGCGACTTGAAGCCAACAGCTCACTCTGCCCTCTGCCAATCTCTGCCACCTCGATCTTCTGGTTGGGCTTGAAGGCTGCCGAGGTCTGAGTCGCGTCATCGCACACAGCGCTCATCTCTCCGAAGTCACGACACAAGACATTGGAAAAACAGGTTTTACCAATTAAGCTCAGACATGTTGGGCCTTCCAGCTCAACTCAGGCTGGTGCAACATCACCCAACATGGAGTTTGGCATGAGGGCATCCGTTCTCCCCAGGCCGATGTCCACGAAGATACCATACTCCTCTGCGGCTGCGGCTGCTTCAGTGTCACCGGACGCAGCCCTCGTGAGACAAAGCGCAGTCCCGAATGCCGCGAACGACCTCGATGCGACAGGGAGTCACGCCACGGCAATCCCCAGTCCGAGCTTTTGGATAGTGCGCCCTTTCAGAGTCTCAGGGCCTGGCGCCACTCACCTTGGAGCCGACCTCCCGACAGAAAGTGAGAAACCGTCCGGCACGGCCGCGGCATCACTTGCAACGAATTCTGCAGGTGAGCCTCGAGTTTATCAATGCTGGTCGTTGCTTCCGAGGAACCAGCACCTGCTTGCTGCCCAACCTGGGCTGGGTGTGTTGGCAAGAGAGAGGCAGTGGCCTCCTCACTTCGGTGGGAAAAGGACATCTGAGCTACGTGACACATATGGAAAGCACATGCAGTCGCTGCGCAGGCTGACTTCATGCTCCTGCTTGCATCGAGCAGCTGCAATCTTGTTCCCAGGGATATCCACTCGGGTAACCTTCAGATCTTCGAGCACCTGGGCAATCCCGAAGTGGCTTCGCCGTGGGTTGAACTGAGCATTGCACTGAGTATGGGACCTCACCCTCTGTATACCTCGGTGCAAAGGAGACTTTCATGTCGGGGGCATGCGGACATTTGGCCCAAAGGGCATGGCTTGAACTCGGTTGCAGAAAGTTGCAGAATGTTGCAGACGAAGCTTAGCATTGAGATAGCAAACGACTCGGCCAGCTGCTCACCCGTGTCTTTGGAGAGAAGAGCGGTTGGAGCCAGAGCGTCCACGGACCTCGGCACAGTTCGTCTGCCCACAGCGAGACACTGCAGAGACATTCCACGCTTCGCAAGCATCCGACAGCACATGATAACAGAGGTTGCACGAACCGTGGCACATCTGAGCTCGCTGGCGCACCAATGTCGACGAAGAGGCCGAACTCCATGATCTTCGTGACCTGTCATCCAGAATAGAACATGCAAATGCAAGCTGCCTCTCCGTGATGCTTGAGGGTGAGACTGCCTGTAACATTTAGCAATAAACCAGCAATACTTGAGGCAGATGTGCAGAACTTCCCTTAAGGTTTACGGACTCACTCCCGGAACCACCAGACCCTCCTGCAGCTGAAGACTCGACAGTTTTTGAACCTCTTTGTGCTGCGCAGTTGCGGTGCCTTGCCCGTAACCTCCTGGCCCACTTCGTATTCTCCAGCAACAGGGCGTGCAGAGACGCCCAGGCGCTGACGGTCAGCGTCCACCTGGTGGAGTTTGCAGATCGACCTAGTCTGACGAAACTGAGACATTGGAGGCAGGACATTCAAATTCTGCACCCCCAACTCTGTCACCCGATGGGCCTCCGTCACACGCAGGCCTGGCCGATCAGCGAGAGTAAAAGGAGACTTTCGGAGATCGGAGCTGCAAGCTGCCTTCCAGCTTGTCTCCGGGTTGGTACTCGGAAAGAGGCTTGTCCAGCTGCGAGATGGCCTTAGCACAGCTCAGAGTTTTGTTTGCATGCAACTGTGTTCAGCCAAAACTTAGGTGGCCACATACAGAGCATCCCTCTCGGCACCGATGTCCACGAAGACGCCTGAAAGACTATGTGTCTTGCAAAATACCTCTGCGGACACTGGAAAGGCAGATTCTAAGCGACAAAGAGTGCTGACAGGGCTCCGAAGGCGATGGTCTTCGTGACGGTGCCTGAAACTTCCTCGCCGACCTGTCACAAGCGGATGCCGCAAGCTCGGCGAAGCCGAGGCTCTGTTCCGAAACCGGGTCCCTTGCCTTCAAGGTCTCCATCGACAGGCCTCAGCCGGGCACTCCCGAAGCCAGGAGCCCAAGAAGCGTCGAAAACGCCATGTAGACCCAACCTCCACAGAGCCCCGGGCTTGTCGCGACTATCTCTGCGCCGGGCATCGCAACCTGTTCGCAGTTTCACCGGGCCAAAAGCTTCCAAATCACAGCAGCGCCCTTTCGCTGAAGAGTTCGGTGCCTCCAGGGTCTGCGCTGCGGCATCCAGGCGGGTGATGATCAGGCCGGAAACCTGCCAAGTGCGAAACTTCTAGGCCAGCCCTCGGTTTGAACCCCAGCACAACGATGAAAGCTGCACCAAAAAACAAAAGGGACCCTGGTTACCTTAAACCCTAAATTCACGATTGCGGCGCGTCCCAAGCCCCAAACCCCAAACCGATGAAAGGGAGGCTCGCCCCCTCAGGCTAAGGAAAGATCAAGGAGCCTCTTCACCAGCCGCATACTCCTCGTCAAACAGCTCAGCGCTGGGAAGGAAAGAGCACTAAGAGCACTCAGAGTGTCTCCTTAGGATCCTTGGGCAGCACTGTGGCGCCTGGCCCCTTCGTGCGCCAAAGCGCATCCTGCCAGAGACAGGGAACACGCACGCACCCACGCATCCATCAAGCCATGTACGTAGAAAAAAGTACGAAGACACATGCAAGCACACATAGAAACAGCAGTAGATGATCCATAAATCCTGAACAGTGCTAAATAGAAGCCTGTTTTGACATTTCAAGCTCTCACGGAGTCTCAGCAGTCTCAGCTTCAGCGCTCCCGGGAAGCTCCAATGTCCATGAAGATGCCCACGCTGTCCATGTAGCGGACGACCTGCAGAGAGCAGAGGGTGGTCTGGCAGATGGCAGATGAAGTTTTGTGGAGAGTCCAGGACTTAGATGCAAACACAAGTACGAGGAGTGAAAAGACAAGTCTTGACACAGTCGGCCCAGGTGCAGGAAGTAAACAAAGGTAGCTCGAAACTGAAGGATACACGCTTCTCCAGCTGCACAAGCTTGACAAGCTGCGGTACTAGCCCCGGCACTTTGGTGCTTGGCCTTTCCAGCAACCTCTTGACCGCGAACGAAAGTCGCGATTGGCTTGCCCACATCCTGGCTTGCTGTTGGTCGTGCTGCTCCCAGTTGCAACATCTTGCAAACCCGATCAAGGGCGGCAGATGCGCAAGCGGGGCATGTCAGCACACGTCACGGCCCCTACCGAGACCACATGGCGCAAGCTGTGCGCACCTCCTTGTCCGACACCGTGACGCGGTCTCCATCGACTTGCATTACAGTGAGATCAGCAACCTCAGCGTTCGACCCGCAGGAAACGGCGAGACGGCCATGTGGGTTATGCTTGTTTTTCACGTCTGCAATGCTTTTCGTGCAACGGGGCTGTCAGCTGTTCTCTGGCTTTCACCGGCTCGTGCACTCGAGTCTGTACTCGGGTCTTGACCTCGCCACGTGTGTATTCGCCCGCCGGCTTGCCTCCCAGGCAGGATGGTGGACGTCGACGCTGATCGCCGCAAACGCCGGAACTCATATTGGGAGTTTCCGAAAAAAAGGGTACCTTATTTTGGGGGTCCTTATAATAAGGGACCTACTCTTTAGGGTACTATATTAGGGTCCCCTCTTTTCGGAAACTCCCCCACATCTCTGGGAGTCCGGCTGAGCAGGTTGTTCGGGGCGAGGAAGTCCCTCGAGTAGCCAGCATCGAAGAAGATGCCGGCCTGCAGGGTTTAGGGTTTAGGGTTTAGGGTTTAGGGTTTAGGGTTTAGGGTTTAGGGTTTAGGGGGCGAAAGCTCTTCCCTCTTTATCTCGAGACCGCAGGTCACTTCGGTGCGCAGCAAGAACTACAAGGATTTCAAGCAAGAAGATCCCTAAGCCGGAGAAGCTCCTTAAAACCCTTGTGTCAGAATGACTTGGCTTGCAAGGCTGCTTTCTCCAAAATGTCTCGCCTTCGACTGGCTCATCATCGTGCCCTCCACCTTCTCGCCGACCTTAGCCTGGGACCTCGGAGAGAAATGCAGCGACTTCTTGGCCGTGGCCCTAGTCCTGGTACGGATAATCAGAAGGACAGTCGGTTGACAACAATCACCCCGTAACGATATTCATCCCAGTACTATTACATGGCAATACCGAACGGTTATGTCAGAATGATTTGCATGCATGCATGCTATAGATAGAGAAAAAGATATAGATATATACATACATATGTATATATAT